TCATATATACTGCAGTATACGGTCCTCTAATATGAAAGATAAATTAAATATTTTCCATCACGATTTGGATCACGCACAATTTTATCAACTTTTAATTGATGTCCAGCATTTAAAAGTACTTTCTGTTCATGAGATGATATATCACTTAGACAATTGTATCAGAAAGCACCTATAAGGTGAGTAACAAAAAGAGTATTTCTACCAAATTGTTGAGCTTGTTGACGATTTCTTGAAATTAATGAAAATGGTGACCGACAAAAATCGAATGCAATATTCGACATCGAAAGTTTCAAATTATGCTACATGTTTGGTTCTTAACAGCCTCCATTCGACGCTTAACATGACTAAACAAAAAACAAAAACATTTTTGCACAGTAAAAATTCATAATGTCTGTCGACGTAGTAATTATGTTTCGTGTTAAGAATAAATGGTGCCGGACAATCACCTCTTATAAATGTAAGAAAAGTTTCTAAGTCCAAAAAACATTTTAGTTCTACTTGTGCAACTTATGGCGCCGAATCTGAACTTGTGTTCGAAAAAGTAACGTGCATTGATTAATGTCCAATGTCGGTAGGTTATCCTCCCGTTTTCAGAAGTTTTCTACGTAGCATACTTCTCTAGATTACGTCGCGCACATTTTGTAAAAGAGATTACAAAACAAAAACGAGAATGCAATTGTGCTGTGCACAAGTTGCGATGTCGACAGACCATGGTCATATTAACAGAGAGAGAGACAGAGAGATCATTAAAAAATTGAAATTAAAAATCTCTACTCAACTTTTAAATGTTTTACTGTTTTATTTATACCAAACAAAGAATTGAATTATTTCGTCCTAAGAACAAATGGCGCCGGACAAAAATCAACTCCTAAAAATATACGAAAAGTTTCTAAGTCCAACAAACATTTTAGTTCTACATGTGTAGATTATGGCGTCGAGTCTGGACTTGGTTTGAAAAAAGAACGTGCATTTATCAATCTACAATGTCGAGAGATAGTCCTCTCGGTTTCAGAAGTTTTCTATGTAGTGTAGTTCGCTAGATCACGTCGTGCACATTTTGTAAAAAAATGACTACACAAAAAAATAATCCCAGCAAAAACACATAATGTCTGTCGACATAAAAACAACTAGATAACAATTGTACTGCGCCCAAGTTGCGATGTCGGCAGTCTCTGCTGATAACTGCTAAAATTTATCAATTTAATCAACAGACACAGAAATGACAGTGAATAAATACAAAACCGCAAATGTTATGTTTATAGAGGAGACTTAAAGAAGGAGTTCTATAGAAGATGGATTAACGGCGAAAGAGAACACACAGACACGCTTTAAAGTCTATGTATGCTTAAATAAGTCAACAATAGAGTAAAATCTCTCTGAGATTAGATGCCTAGAAGATAATAAGCCCCCTAAAGAAGGTGGTAGTAATTGGATTCCAGTAGTTCGAGTTTCTTCTTTATTCCAATACTCCAAATCGTTTCAACAATCAATGAATTTCCATTTGTTCGATATTCCTTCTGTTTTAAAATAGCAGATCGTCTTTTTTCTTTTTTCCTCTTTCTTCTCCTAAATTAAAATTCTCTGATCAGTACTTAAACGTCTTATGTTTTTATTAATACAGAACAAATAATTAAAAAAAATTATTTTTCGTTGTCTGACTAAATGGCGCCAGACAAAAGAATAACAACAACTAGATTGCAATTGTGCTGGGCACAAGTTGCGATGTCGACAGACCCTGGTCATATTAACAGAGGCAGACGGAGAGATTAACTCTTATAAATGTAGGAAAAGTTTCTAAGTACAAAAAATATTTTAGTTCTACTTGTGTAGTTTATAGCGCTCTGGACTTATGTCTTTCTTCAATTTCAAAATTAAAAATAAAGATAAAAGCTTTATAAATAAATGGCAATATTTCTAAACCGAAAACTGCAATTACAGACAAACAAATATAATAATAAACGCTACGACGAAAAAAACAAATCAAAGATTTGTTGCATAGGTTTTCTAAAAATTTTAGATTAGGATAAGCCAACGCCTCGCTTTGATCTATTCAATCCATCTTAATGTTCCAACTAATCAATCCATTATTAAATTAATAGTGACTAAAATAAAAAACATAATAAAATTTATAATAACCACATCTATAAATAATAACAAAGGCATACAGCTTACAATAACTAACTCCAAATCTAAAATTAAAAACAAAATACAAAAAACATAAAAACATAAAGAAATAGGACTTAAACTAATATATTAAGAATCAAACCCACACTCAAACACAGTAGATTCTTTACTATAATAAAATTTTATTATCCCTAATTCAAACAAAACGAACAAAACTAAAGGCAATATAATAGAAACAATAAAGTATAATAATAAAATTCACATTAATTACCCTATCAATAAATAAAAATAAACAAAAACAATCAAACCACATCAACAAAATGTCAATACCATGCAGAAAACTCAAACCCATAATGAACTCAGGCCTCTATGGATAAAACTGACATTCGAACTAATCTAGCTAAAATTATAAAACAATCTAATAAAACATGAAATCCTGTAGCTAAAAAAAATACCCTACCATAATCCCTTCTCATAAACTTAAATGAAGCCTCCGACTACTCCCCAACTTGAAGAATTAAAAAATATACACCTAAAACTAATGTAATTAACAAATTAATAACACTTTTAAACCAATTATTACTTAAAATACTAAAATGAGCTCATGTAATAGTTACACCAGAAGATAAAAGAATTAAAGTATTTAATGAAGGAACCCTAAAAGGATTAATGCTAACAATTCCTTTAGGTGGTCAACTAATCAATTATCCCTAAGCTAAAAACTTATCATTAAACTTAGAATGATCCATAGCCATTTCCTTCTCCCGATTTACATCCTTAAATCAAATTACTATCATTAATATAAACAATAATAACAAATAAATTATATTTTTACTATTAAATTTAATTAACATATAAAAATTAATAAAAGAAAATATAACTACAGTAGAAAAAAAAAATGGTCAAGAACATAATTTTAACAAGTGAAAAGGATTTATCATGTATTAACAATTCTTTAGCCTAAAAAACTAAAACTTTAAATAAACTATATTAATATCTACTAAAATCTAATAAAGAAACAGACTCAACTACAATAAAAGAATGATAAACACCACGAATTTCAAAACATTGACCATGAATAACTGAATTTAATAAAATTCTAAAAATAAATTGATTTAAACGCCCAGGAACTGCATCTACTTTAACACCTAAAGAAGGTAGAGCTCAAGAATGTAAAACATCATTAGAAGTAATCAAAGCACGAATAAATTCTTGAGATGGTAATAAAACTCGATTATCGACGTCTAATAATCGAGCTAACCTATCAGGATCAATGTAAGAATCATACTCAAATTCTGCATTACTATCAATTTCATAACTTCAATACTATTGATGACCAATAACTTTTGAAGTACAAAGACAATTCGTTCTATTTTCATCAATTAAATACAATAAATAAATAGATGAATAAACTAACAAAATTAAAACAACAACAGGTAAAATTGTTCAAATACTCTCAATTAAATGATTAGCAACAATATTAGAAGAATACTCTTTTCTAAAAAGAGAATAAACCAATAAATAACCTACTACAACTAAAATTATTACTACAATCATTATTAAATAATCATGAAAATAAATAATTTGCTCTAAAGTTATATTTAAAGCATCTTGAAAATTTAAATTACCTCAAAACATCATTCATATAAACTTTCTAGTTTATACACTATGTTACGACTTACTTTATAATAAAGCTGACGGGCGATATGTACTTTTAAAAAATAATTCAAATAATCCTATTTTATTAATAAATTCATCATTCTTTAAAGTCAGTAATATATAAATTGTAACTCATACACCCTAAAAAATAATTTATGTGTATCTGAATTATATTAATTTAACTCTTACTCATCAAACATACAAAATTAACCCTTTACGACCGGCTGCCAGAAGACGGCAAGGAAAAAATTATCTTTATATGTATTGTTTGTCTCCGAGGCCTAGGGATTACTGAATTCAAGTTTGAAGTTTAAGAAACTGACTCTCAACCGAATGCGGATATGTGCCTTTTTCCATCCGGCCGTAGGGGTACAAAAAATTCGAAAAGGTCGGTTTCTTTTTCACAGGTGAGGTCTAATATCTTAGTGCCAGCCTGAGTTCAGCTCCTCACAGGAGCCCACAGTTTGAGTATCTGTCCTTCTCTTGCAGCTCCAAGTTAAGATGCATCTGAAGAATACGTAAAAACTCACCTAAATAGTGCAAATTTCCGTCTTTTTCCTAGCAATGCTCGTGAATCGATATAGATTCTAATGAGATTTATAGCTCGTCGTAGTATTTATGTTGCGATCATTCTCAAACACTGTGAAAATTGCTAGAATCTGAACCAATTCACGAGCATTGCTAGGGAAAAGACTGAAATTTGCACTATTTAGGTGAGTTTTTACGCATTCTTCAGATGCATCTTAGCTTGGAGCTGCAAGAGAAGGACAGATACTCAAACTGTGGGCTCCTGTGAGGAGCTGAACTCAGGCTGGCACTAAAATATTAGACCTCACCTGTGAAAAAGAAATTGACCCTTTCGAATTTTTTGTACCCCTACGGCCGGATGGTACCAAAAGGACACATTCGACTCTTTACAGAATGGCTCACAACAAAAACGTCTTTCTTAATAGTCATATAGGTAGCCCATTTAGCGACAAAGCTTTTGGTATACAAAGCTTGAGTATTGAATGTCAAGGGTAATTAGAAGAACCAAGAATACGAATATGTGGTCTTTCCGTGTTACTTCGCATGCATGAAGCTGTGTTCAGAAAGCAAAGCGTATTGATCTTAGATGCAAGATTAATAAATTACTACATGTATTCTCCTAATTATCGTGGTATTGGATTGATCTACGCTACGAGTTTGAAAGAGTTTTTTAAACACACAGTCATCCGATGGTACCAAAAGGTACCATCCGGCCGCAAAGGGTTAAACATGTTTAGTTATAAAATTAGTGGGAAATCTAATTAAGATACAAGTTTCTTTATTTAATTTAAACCACCAATTATAAAAAATTTTAATTATTCCTACTTATTTATTAACAGGGTCTCTAATCCTGCTCATCTAAAAATTAATAATTACAAAAAGCTAAATTTCACCTAAAATTTAATAATAGATATAAAAATGTAAACTAATAATATTATTCGTATAATCGCGGATGCTGGCACTCTATTAACCAAAATAAAATAAAATTATTTATATTTCTTTTTATAGTATAGTAAAATAATCATACAATATAAATTAAATATTAGGAGTATGAATTCTACAGCTTATTAGCTTACATTTATAGATCAATCTTAAAATTTACAGTAATATCTTACTCTAAACTACCTTACCTACGAAAAAGATATATGATAAACACTAGAAAAAATCTAACAATAAGCTTGATTTCTTCAAAATCACACTTTAAAGCTTACATTATAAATAAAAAGCAAACAATAAAATAACACTCACCAATTTAATATATGCAAAGATTTAAAACTATTAAAATAATTTATAAATCTAGAAGTAATCCTATAAAAATTCAAATAAATAAAACTCTCAACTTTATAAAAATTTTTAATTACAATTAGTATTTGATCTAACACTAAAAAATTTAACAAATATACAGACCACAACAATTTAAACTAATAATAAAAGGAACACTACAAAAGTAATAAAAGCAACACTACAAAAGTAATAAAATATACTAAAAACTTAAAACTAAAAATCTCATAACTTAATATTAAAAAATTACTAATGTGATAATTCACAAAAAAAAACATAACTAAAACACTTAAAAATAATATTTAAATTAAAATAAGAATACTCATTAGAAGAATACAAAAATAATAATTTTATAGAATAATAAACACTAAGCCCCTAATATTAATAATAAAAAAAGGACTGTAACATAGATAAACCCCTTTTTAATAAATTTTTAATAATAAAATCTTTAGAAAAAAAATCAACTAAAAAAGGCAAATCCGAAAGACTTAGGTAAGAAAAATAATAAAGAACCTTAAAAATAGGACTAGAATACCCCAAAAGGAATAATAGAACTAGACTGATTATGAAAAAAGACATAAGCATAACAACCCCCAAAACCCATGAATAACATAGATTTAAATATTGCATGAATATTTGGATGAAAAAGCTACCTTATATAAACCTACTGGCATCAAAAATATTATAATAGAAACATGATTTATTGTTGAATAGGCAATAAGTTTTTTTATATCTGGCTCATAGACTAAACCTAAAAAACTAATAAATAAAGTTAAAATTCTTAACAACTGAAGAACATCTATATATTCAAATAAACAATAACTAAAACGCATAGTAACAAATACACCAGCTACAACTAAAGTAGAAGAGTGAACAAGAGCAAAAATAGGTGTAGGTGCACTTATAGCAGACAAAAGTCAAAACCTAAAAGGAAACTGAGCCCTTTTAACACACGTCCCTCAAATTAACAAGCCTAAAAACAAATAAATAAAAATCCTTAAATTTATAATTAAATAATATTACAGATAATAATATTAGATTCATCAACAATTTCTGCTCCAACCACTACTCAACGTGATAGAGCAATTTCGCCCGAAGAAAAAGCCGAGTTATTATTGCTTCATAAACGAGTGTTCTTCAGTGATTCAACAAGTATGTTAGATACACTCATAGAACGTTTTATGTAAAAGCATATTTTTTGATTTTTGTTATATTTTAACAGGTACATTTCTGATTGAACCCCTAGGAGATCTTTCTTCAGTATATGTAGTTGATTTAAAAAAATTTTCACGTTTTTGTTGTACTTGTCCTAATCACAACAAACAGAATTATTGCTATCATATTATTGTTGTTCAGAAAAAATTAAAAATGAAGATTGATGTAATAGAACCAAAAGCACCACCAAATTGCGGGAAAGCCAGAACAAGTTATCGTCAAGCTGCTGGTATTAGTAAACCGGGGAAAAAACAACCAACAGCATTAGATAGATAAAAGGTTAGTAAAACGAGTGTCCGGACAAATTTACTTGGCACTAACTCGTCTTTTTGTGTGTTCTTAGGATTCAGAACAACCTACGCCCAGAAAAACGAATACTGAAAAACGAAAAGTTACATCTTCGGATAGACTGAATAAGAGAATAAATACGGTAAGTTCGATTAGCTAATTAAATAAATCTTAAATTTTCTTGTGCAGACTTCTCTTTTGGATTTGTCACATAATATTGTCCATGAAGAAAAAGAGCAAGAAAATATAAATGCATCATTTCAACCAGAGTCTAAATTACAAACTCTTCAAGTAAAAATAACAATCTTCGAACGTTCTTATAATACGCACTTCTACTTCTTTAGCGTTTACCGTTGAATGGTATTTCAAATATTCAACAGCAGCAATCATCAACGTCACTACATTCACTACAGTCATTGCAGCAGCCTATTCAGCAGGAGAGAAAAGTTGCACTTAAAGACTGTTAAAATCACTTCATGCAGATTATTAACGGTCTCACAGCTGAACAAATGTTCGAAAAACTTACATTTAAATTGATATATTGATTATATCAAGTTCTATTACTTCCACTCTCATAAAAGTGCCTATTAGAAACTCTGTGAGTTTCATTTCTGTTCGTCCAACCATAATACCATCGACAAGACCGCTGATAGTGTCAACTGCTCCTCGTATCATTGTGACAAATCCACCACTAATTACTATTAACTATCCTCAGCCAAATGCAGCTATTAATCACGAAAGCATTAATTAGAAGAAATGATTTGACGATGGTGTATTTGGTGAAATATATTGAGTTGAAGTTGAAGTTGAACAATTCATATTGGTTGATAGTTTACTTTCACCTTTAAGCTGTGAAATTGCTTTCCCACTGTTTTCTTTTGTTCCATGTTCGATATGTTGGTATGACTTGGTTTTGACTTTCATAATGGACTTCTAGAAAACTGGACTTTTGAGCACAGAGGTTTCGGAAATATTGAAATTAAAAATATTTAATATTATTAAAGCCATGAAAGCCAACGGATTCATGGCTTTCTGAAATACCTCTGGTCTGAATCCGGAATCCACAGCCATATACGTTTAAGTACATGCTGTCTACTATCAAATAACGACATAATCAAACTTTTAGAACTTTCTCTTTAACAGTCGCAGACGATCTTCTAAGAGCCGTCGACTTTCAGCCAAAAGCCCTTGGAAAATTTCATGTTTTAAGTTTTTCCGAAAGAAAAACTGCTTTAAATAGCTAAACGTGAACTCTGTTGAATGAGCTTGTTTAAAAAATTAAATGATAACGGTGAATATTTTTAATTTCAATATTTCCGAAAGCTCTGTGCTCAAAAGTCCAGTTTTCTAGAAGTCCATTATGAAAGTCAAAACCAAGTCAAACTGGTATCGCCATTGAAATCAGCATGCCTGAAGCCTTTAGGGGGCAACATTTAGTCTGAAATCTTTATTGCACTATGTTGTATGCTAGTTTTTGTTGTATTAGAAAGACGTTCATTCTATCTTTTTAAATGAGCTTAATAATGCTGACTCTCGAGAACTCTTCTTTTCAAGAATTTTTTATTCTCGATAGCCAGCAACTTCTCTCACACATTTGAAAACATTGGTAGAAGAAATCTTTTGTTGTTGGTTTTTGCCATTTTGTTTCTATTTTTTTGAAATTTTTCTGTTTATACCGTACTTCACGTAGCACAGTAACTAATTTTCCTTTATGTAATCATACGAAATTGTTAGCTTGGCCATAATACTTACTGAAATATCATGATAACGTTTTCCACGCTGTCTCCTTTTAAAATCACAAGCACTTAGTCTTTAAAGTCATTTTGCTCAGAAGACGAGGCTGATTTCGAAAAAAGATGTATTATTAACGGAACTTATCATGCTCAACATTCTCTAGTGGACTGAACAGGTTATGCAATGAATGGGCAAGTTATGAATTTTTTAACTAACTTAAATTTAAAAAGGCAATGCGTGCAATTATCAGGATAACCTTAAAGAATTAAGACGAGAACGGTAATTAATCTCTGTAAGACGATTAGAGTCCTGTTACCGTGACTTTTTCGTTACCATTTACCATACCATTACCATCGATGTGATTTTTTTCTTTACCATGACCGTTACCACGGCGAAGAATGTTTTACCATTACCATTACCATTACC